ACGAAAAAGAAAGCTGCCTTCTATCAGTTGGGTCATCCTTCAGTTGGCATCCACTAAAACTGCTAACTTCTGTTTTCCAGAGGAAATATTCAAGCTGGAAGTTATTGCTTCCAATATCAACAAAACTAAATGATATACTCTTAAAAGCCAGTATGGATTTTATTTTGGCAGTAAACTTCCTTCGTCGCAAAAAATTAACACATGTACTTGTATTCGTTTCCAAACCTTTCGGTCGTTCCACGTATCTTACAATGACCACCGAAACACATCTTTGGAGCCCGCTGCAAAATCATAAATACAGGATGCTGTTTTTTTTTTTTTTAGTAAAACATGTGACTTGATCACGCAGATCTCTAAAGGAGTTCGTCGAGAGTCTTGGCCAAGACAGAATTTTGCGAGTTTCTTTCGTGAGTGAGCAGGAAGAATAACATTAAGCGATCAACGTTCCTCGTATTACGAAAGGCCGGAAAAAATAACTGGAGCTCTCTCTTGAGCTGGCGAAGACCGAACGTCGATTCACAATGAACACAAGAAAGGGCAAAGAAATGTGCTTTTGACAAGACCTTTTTAACACGAATAAAATGTTTGCAACACCAAGAGGCATTTAATTTTATTCGAAAGTGAAATGATCCTCATTGGAAAACCATGAGCTGATGGTAAGAGACCTCGTTCCCGTGAGACTTTTCGCCCTTTGAAGTGAAGTGAGTGAAGTGATGAAGTGAAGTGATGAAGTGAAGTGAGTGAAGTGAATTTCACTTGAATTGTTTGCAGCGTGGGGTCCGGCGAGTGTAAGAGGGAATCACAATCCATTGGTGAGACCAATATTTATTATCAATTTTAAAATTACTATTGCAATTACTGCCATTCAGATTAAAAGGTCATACATAACATTCACAAGTTTAGAGTGATGGGACTACCGCTGGCCACATACTGAGGACTCGTTGAGACCGCTACCCTGTGCTAGTCAGCCAGATCGTTTCGGACACTAAAACTCATGAGCATCAACAACTACCTTGCGAATTGAACTTATTATCGTAAGTCGATTATATTGTGTTTCGTTTAGCTTTATAGTTCGCATTACTTAGTGTTTGGATTTTGTGATTTATCCTGTAGATCTGTTTCATCGTTGTGATTAAACCAAATCAATCGAGGAGTTCGCTTCATAGAGGAAGCTCAGAAATTTGAGATCAATTTTTGCAAACGATCTCATCGAATTAATGGCAACTCCGTTTGCCATGTCGAAACCGGGTACACACCTTCCTGGGACATAACCTAAGAGAAAAGTACCAATAAGGTCAACTTTCGCTCCCGTTTTGGCTTAAAATTTTTGCAGGCAACGTTATTGTCAAGAGGAGTTTGCTATGAACATCGCAAAAAGTTATTCACAATGCGTCTTGACATTGACGAGCATTCACAAACATTAGTTTGTGGGATACTCACAAAGCTGATATTGACGCAGCTTCACTAAGTTTCCTGAGGGTTAAATGCTCCTAAACATTATATCGTGTCACTAGCTGTGTTGCTGCTTACTGATCACTTCTCTGAATAACGCGTTCTTATTAAGCAGATTGACATTTAGTGTAGAGTTTTTTAAGGGAACCTGCCTCTATGACCTCTGTTTGTAAACCTAAAATCATACTCAATAATTTAAACAAGAAATGCCCTCTTGCACAAATAATGATTTTGTTTTCATTTTTGGTTATTGGTTACAGATCTAATGGCATCGCAGCATTCATTGGTAAGCGTCAAGATACCACCACTTTTTTTGTATGCACGGATAAATTATATCGCACAATGCAATGTGAAAATGGATCATTCATTAACATATCTTTAAAATATACTCTTTGAAAGAAAAATCAAATCTTTTGAATGACGGCAATAGCTATGATATTCATGTAATTTTGGTAAAATAGGTATTCTCCACAGGCCCAGCGAATATAATGAAATAAAGGGTAAATGCTCATAATTATCAGCTTCTCTACAATATCTAATTTTCGACTCTTTCTTGTCCTGATTTGGTACTGAGAAGAGAATTAGGTGCACTGGAGCTAGCTATGTTTTGTTATAAAATATACGCACAATACATTTTAGCGAAAGCTTACTATGCTTTATATTTGATGAGTAGAGCGTTGATCTACTGGGAAAAAAAGAAAATTAGTTTAATTATCTTCAAACTGGGCAGAGTGTTTCGGATCTGACATTTGAGTCACACAATAGCGAAAAATGTATTAGGTGGAGGCAACTTAACTTATTGATAGCCACCACAGAGTCAAGGTGTCACCAATGTTTCCTTTTAACCTTTCTTCAGGGCGTCTCCCCACCTTTGCAACACATGGGGAGGAGTGGTAATGATCCACATGAGAGGTGAGAATCGGTTCTTGGCGTTCCAAATTTTGTTTTAGAGATCAATAATCATCAAAATGCCTTTTTTCATTGGATGAAAGGCACAGGAAGGAGACATTTTGGTTATAGATCTATTATTAGTGTCACGGGTGTAGACTACGTTCTTGGCAACGTAAGCGAGGACTAAGTCCGGTTTAGTTTGGTGTCGTTCAGTCTAGTTCTATGTAATTGGTGTGAATCGGGGCATTTTGGTGTAGTTGGTGCAGTCTGCTGAGGTTGTTATCGTTTGGTATAGTTTGGTATAATTTGGTGTAATTGGTGTAGATCAGTAAAGTTTGGTGTAATGCAGTTAAGTCTTGTCTAGTCGATGTATTTGGTGTAATTTGATGTGGTTGGTGTAGTTTACTGTGGTTGATGTAGCTTGATATTCTTGCCGTTGTTGGTATGGTTGTTGTAGATTGGTGAAAACCCTTACGAATGTCCTAAACTATTAAAGGTTAAATTTGATAGTCAACCGAATAAGTAGTGTTTGTAAGAGGAGTAGTCAGAGGGAAAAGAGAAGACGAAATTATGAGAAATAACATTTGTGCTTTTCTGATCTTTTGATATTACTACGCTGTTTAGAGATGGAATTCCAGAGATCTTGTCAAATGTGCAGGTAAGCCATGTCCCCTTACAGCGAATTAGTTGTGAAAATCAATCAATTGTGCAGAATTTTTTCGACTTACATCCCTTTACTCCAAGGGTTTTAAGAATGTAATTATTTGCGCCCATGTTTAACCCATCCATTAACAATAAAATATTAAAGTGCACCTTAGCTCAAAAAGCAGATGTTCTTCATTTAAGACTGTGGAAGGTTGCGAAATCTGCTTACTAATGCATACTCATCTGTTTGTTTTCAAAATCAGGATAATTCAGGGATCCAACATTTAAATGATAGAGTTTTCAACCAGAGTACGACGTAAGTCCCTCTTACTAAACACTTATTTATTCTGTAAGTGCAACTTATCAGGTGTAGTAATATACGCATTAGTGCTCGAAAAAGATCAATTTAAAAGCATGCGCCCAAAGAAAAGAAAAAGTTGATTTAGATCAAAATTTCAATTTTGGTTTTCTTACCCTTTCATCTTTCATGTTCTTTTCTTTCAGAGACAGGAAGATGAAGATAAAAGTCTTGGTACAGACCATAAGAGTAAGGGAATGGATACTAGCTCAGGTGGGTAGGAAAACATGACTTAGAAACCCGACTTGGTCTAAAGACCACATTTAATCTATCAAACCCTCGCCGGTAATTATCAATTAGAGACACAATTATAATGATAAAACATAACTTGGTGTAGTTCAGGGAGGTTTGATGCAGTACGGTGAAGTGTGGAGTAGTTTAGTGTATTTTGGTGTAGTGGGGTTGATGTAGTTTGGTGCTCTTGCTGTAATTGGTGTAGTTTGGTGTAGTTTGATGAAGTTAAGTATAGTCAGTGTACTTTGGGGTAGTAATAATTGTAGCTGACGTACTTTAATGAGTTTGGTGTTTGGTGTAGTTTGGTGAAGGTGGTGTAGTTTCTGATCAATCAGATATGAAAATACACGACACCTTGACTTTTACAATCAGAAATATACGTTATCACTGTTTCATTCTATTCTTATTGTAATAAGACTAATTAAAGCTGTAATGTCTTAGCGTGCGATTCTTTTTTTTATTTCACAGGCTTAAAACAGAGTGGCAGGAATATATAAGATATGAATAATTGGAAAGCATACAGTTTTCTATGATGGCTTTTTAAAATTAAGCTGTGTATATAAAATATTTTGAAGGGTTGGATTTTAAATTTCCTAATGGAATGTAAAAATTAAAGGTTTATTAAATTAAAGCACGATTCAAATGTTATTTTCTTCCTGAACATGAAACAATGACATCAAGAAATGCTTGCCTTGTATACACTTAAGAAGTAAATGACAACACGGGTAGTTGTTCGTAAAAAGGGAGAAGCGATTGTTTGCAAATCTTTGCGATTCTGACAAGTAGTCACATCAGCTAATAGTAAGGTCAGCAGAATACTCGAGTTGCCTAGCAACACGTTTCCTCGAAACACTCTACATTGTTCCCGTTCACGTTTGGATCTCCCGCTTCTCCCTGTTGAGCACCAACGTTGCACAGAGCAGCAAAACGATTTCCAAGCATTTCGTCGTCAGACGATGCTTCTTTTGGTGCAGCATTTTGTCTGTTAGTCTTTTTAACTCTCTTCATTTCTTTGTGTCTCTTTTCACTCACCATCTTTTCTGACAGGCCACTGGTTACCACAAGATAAAGCTTGTGAAACAAGCGAAACAACCTGAAACTTGGAAGAGACTGCTCCGGTTCTTGACCTATATCGAAAAAGAAGACACATTCAACAGTTTTCCACAAGTCTCTTCATGAACTCCTGGAAGTTAAAAAATGAATAAATAAATAAAGGACATTAATTGCTATCCCGTATATGCCACAGTCGACAACAGTCATTAATTACTGCTGTAGTAAGTCATTTGAGAATCAATTTGCCCCCCTCTCACGACACATGAAAACTTACATCGGTCTCATTTTCTAAGTAAAAAACATCAATTAAGTTTGCTCTGACTTAAAAAAAGGGGGGACTCAGGTGCTCTCTACGAATATCACCTTCTTATTCTAATTTTCTAACGGATTGGATTGTCTTACCTTGTTGCAACCTTTCAAGCAGTTTTAGTGCCATTTTTCCATTGAACGTCTTCTGAAGACATGGTAAAGGTACCGGCTCAAGCAAAGTAAAGTTCAGATGAATTGCATCTTTCAGAACACAGTGCCACTGAGCAAAGCTTTGCGCCGCTCTTACGTCAAACCGCCATGAAGAGCGTCTAGGGCTTGCAGTTCTTTTTTTACCACTGCAGAACTTGCTGTCTTCCAAGTTTACACAACAACATAGTAAAGCCATGAGGTGGTTCACCTCCAAGGGTGGTTGTGCGTTTTTGATGAGATAACGAAGTGATGCAGCAATTAAAATAAACTCTTTACTTAAGGACTTGACATCTGTGGTGTCAGAATTTAGTGCAAACAATAAGAAATTTACACGCTCTCCCACATCGAGGAACGGGATTAGGCTCAGAGAAGGGACCACGCCCTCTTGATAGGGATCTACAATTGACTGTTTGACAGTTGAGCCTTGTCTGTCCCATTCGTGGATCACCTTAATATTTCCTTCCTCTGCTTTTGTTTCAGCATCGTTTAAAATCCCATACATAAACCGCCTTAGCCACAGAGAGCAGTAGTTCGCCGATATTTCTCTACAATTTTCAACGGGGATTCCCAGTAACAGTTTTCCCGATGTCAAGCTACTGATACATTTTGTGGAAAACTTTCCATTTCGAAACCGGCGCAAAACCCACTCATTCATCTCGCTATTACTCTGCGTTCTAAGGGAGCTAGAGACTAAGTTATCCTGGAAATAATCTAGAAGATTTGATTTCCTGAGAGTATATTCCTGGAGGGAAAGTTCAACAGCCTGTCTGAGATGTTCTCCATTTTCAGCTGGCTTCACCAGTTTCAGAGCTCCTTTCAAAGCCTCTTCTTCGTTTGAGTCAGGAAGTTTGGAGAGCATGTTTGCAATGCTTTCAAATCGAGCTCCTCTTTTACTAAAATGGTTTGAATTCTGAATACGATTCAACGCGCGATTAAACGCAGATAATAAATCACAACTCACGTAGTCATTTCCCGCCAACGAAGCTAACAAGGGAATTAATTCATCACGGATTCGAAAATGCGACGCCAGCTTTCGCCGATAGAAAATCCTTACTGTCAAACAACTGGAATTCCAATTAAAGAAAGTAATCGGAATATACCCAGCTTTGATGTCAAAGATAAAGAAGTCACTGTCATTGCTAAGAACTGGGCAATTCCATGCATAAGCCAACGAGGCAATTTCTGTGTCGGCCTCGCTGTCGAGAAAAAAAAAGGGAAATGAGGTTAAATGTATATCTTTCAGGGCAAGCCAAAAGCTGAGGAGGTAATATCTACTAAGAGGGTCCCCTATATCCTTTTGTAACACTCAGTCCCGTAAAAATGGCTGGCCTTTTCACACATCACGAATAAAATTCAAAATTATTTCACGTTCACGCAAAATTTGAGACGACCACGTTTTATATAAAAATAAAAAACCGACTTCACGAATTATTGATCCATATGAAGTCCATTTCCTGTCAAAACCCTGGACAAAACCTAACTACAGCCGTTCGAGAACAACACGTACAATTTCAAAACCATTCAAAAGCCGGGAATTCACCACGCAAAATAAAATTAGTTCGCGAATCACTTTTAATTCAGCTCTTCATTCACGAATCACGTTTAAATAAAATTAGTTCACATGGACATGGGAAGATCTTATCGTCTTTAATTACGATTCACGAATAAAGAAAAAATAAAATAACGATTCACGAGAAAAAAAAAATCACCCAATCACTTTACGTAAAAAGTATAGGGGACCCTCCACTAAGCCTTTTCTACTGTTCCTTCTAAAATAAAATTGACTTGAAAAGAAGTCTCGGTAAAGAATCGCACCATATTGAACTTATCATGTGGCTTTAAAAATCGGCATATAGCGCTATAAAGTTTCTCCAACATTGTAACTGTAGTTTCTTCCTAAAGAATGACCTATTGTATTCTTCTTTCCGAGATCGCGTTATTTTGTTGTTTCTAAAGCCTTCATGGCGGATTCATTAAACGAGACTATAGGGGCTACTTTTCTTCATAGTGTTGTCGATGAGCATTGTAATAAATAAATCACTCCTACCTATCACTGAAAACGAACTTCACACCAAGATTCCTAAGTGCATCAACAAACACATGCCTCGCTAAAAGCGGAAGTAAAAACAAACGATCATCAGCGGATTTCGACAAAGCATTTGATGTTTTAACCCGCTCCCTGGCTCGAGCTTTAAGTGTCTCCAACCTCTTGTCACTTGGATCGTGTGCTCCATCGAATACAACATAGGTTTCCACACCGTTCGAAATCAGAGCATCGAAAAACGAAACTACAACATCGTAATATTCTTGGTACTGACCACCACATCGGCAGTCTAAGCCATTGCTAGCGTAAAGACAATGGCACAGACAAGATCCATCGATGATAAGTTTTGTATTTTTAAGATTGATTCCTGTCCAAAGCGTTCCAAGTGAGTTGATGTAACTTGTCAGTCCGGGAATCCCCATACCTAGCTCTGAAGCCATGAGGGGACGCAAATCGTCTGCGCTGGAAGTATCCCGGGAGTCCCATACATTTTCTTAGACTTTTAGTCTAAGAAAATGTATGGGACTTTTTGAGCGCTCCAGGCAGCTTTCCTGTAAGGCGTCATAATTTTGTTGCTGCTGACATCGATGTGACAGATAATTGCTTTTACAGTGTTTTCTTTGCCGGTTTATACTTGTCATCAAGTTTCAATAAGACGGCTCTCTTTTTTTGCGAGAACAATGAATTTTTTGTAAATTATGAGATCGGATGCAAGAGCACGTGTCCAACTAATTCGCTCTTCTTGCTTAGGAATACATTAATAAAATGTCGGCGGACCTTGAGGCCTCCACTAAGCTTGAAATACCAAATAAACGGGAGGTAAAATCGCGAAAAAATACTCCCGAGGAGAAACGAAAACAAAATAGAGAATGGAGAAAGCGAAAGCGACAGCAGAAGAAAGCAGGTAATCTGGCTCTGCTCGCTAATACTGAAGTTCTGCCTGGCATCAATGCTGGACCAAATGTGGCTAAGACGAACTTGATAGATAAAAAATCGCTTTCTCCAAATCTGGATACAGAACAGGTAGGCAACGAAAGCGGACTTATCACGCTTAAGGCTAATTCTAAAGAAGAAATGGAAAGTAATGTGAAGCGACCACGATTAACAACCATTTTGGATATAGATTATTCAAGATCAGCAACAATGCTTCGGAGGGCGCTTGGAGACGACGCAAGACGCAAGCGGACTCAATATATTCAAGGCCGTTTTTGGCACAGACAACTTTTAAACGTATTGGTAGTCAGAAAAATATCCAGTTGAAGAGTATTTCAGATAAAGAATTCAATGGCAATTTTAAAGAATTGATCCCGGAACATTTGGTGTATCTAACCCAACATTCCGTTGGTAGTGGAAGTTTTGGCCAATGCTTCAAAGCAAGTTACCGCGGGATCGCCGTTATTGTGAAGCAAATGAAACACAATGACAACGCCGAAGAACAGTACAGGGCAAAGAAAAACCTTCTTCATGAAGCAGGGGTTATAACTACATTGGGGGATCATGCTAATCTTCCAATGTTGTTTGGAGTAGTTACAAAGAGCTTGCCCTTATGCCTTGTTCTACAGTTCCATGGCATCAACCAAGAAAGCACTACTCTTCATCAGGCAGCGAGCAAAAACCTGCTTAAACCAACAGATTGTATTTCACTGTTTATAGAGATAGCTTCCACCTTGAGCTATGTTCATTCAAAAGGCTACCTGCACAACGACATTAAGGCTAATAATGTAGTATTGGGAAGAAAGTCCGACTCTGCGAAATACGACCCGATTCTTATTGATTTCGGTAAAAGCACCATGTTGGGGTTGCCATCCTCAAAGCGAAGCTCTTTCTACTGTTCAAGAGAGACCTATTTAGCCCCAGAAGTCCAAAAAGAAAGACTTTACAGCATTGCAAGTGACATTTACTCATTAGGAAGAATGCTGAAGGTTGTGTCGTGTTTAATAGGTTTTTATGAGAAGGTGCTTGTGGTTGTGAAAAAAGCCACCGAAGAAAACCCCGGTGATAGGCCTACTGTTGAAGAATTTTTGCAACAAATCTCTACAATTATACTGTAGATATTTCGCTAGTTCTTTTCCTATCCCATGTGTTTGGAACAATCTATTCGTGATAAGTGATGCGAAAACGCCCGAATTTGTTTTCGACAGAAAGTCAGCGCAGAAATTGTAACAAAATAAACTGAAATCCTTGGTTTCTTTCTTTCTAAATTTAAATTAAGGTTCAGTTTAGCATTTAAGAGACAGTAGAATGGCGAGTTAAAACTTATTTTTTATAAACAAATCAGTCAGTGAGGAAGTCGAGTTGTTTATTGAACTTTTTTCACTGTGGTGTTTCCACGCATGATACACACTTAAATTCGCGTCACGTCGGTTAACAAAAGCATTATTGCAAAAAGACTTTACAGTAAGAATTATATTTTTAAACAAAAACCAGTAGCATTCTTTTTTTAAGAAACGATAATAAAGGTTCTTCTCTTATGGCTTCAAAACAGCCTGTCTCTTTTGAAGTGAGTCGTTCGCTTGTCTCGATCCCCTAACCGGCGATTAACCTTCTCAGTTTTTGATTTTGCAAACTTTATCAGAGCCTGATGACTGAGCGAAAGAAACATTTCCAACCTGGGTTTCATTAAAAGACGAAAAAGAGCATTCTGCTTCCCCTTGTAGTTTCCTTACGGTAACCTCCTCTTGGCTTTCATTTTGATCAAGTCTCGTTGTTTCCCCACGGTCACTGATTTCAGTTTTCCGCTTTCCTGCAACAGTATTCTGGAATTTTCTGTTGAACTTCTTCCTTTCTTTTCGTACCTTTGTTCTTCTGCGCTTTTCTTCAATTGAATGTTTTCTTAACCTCGGCATCATGCAAAATTACTTGCTTGCTCCAGCCGTGAGAGATAGTTCTTCGTTTAAGAAGGTTACTGAAAATCACTGACTCGCGTAATTATCGTACGTTTGTATGCAAAGACTTAAAAGCCTTTTATCTTTTGAAGAAAAATTAGCATTCATATACATTTGGATGAGGTGATACTTCTCTCAGATCTAACACTGTATTGTTTCCTTTTTTTTACTGAGGACGTTGCTAATTTTCTTTGTTTCAATTTCAACGTTGAAGTGAGACTTATTCTTCATTTCCGTCAGTGGCCAGGTGCGTAATTTCGAATCCAACGCAAGAGAGTAAGTCATTGCAGTTTACAATTTGAAGTTCTCGAAATCACGCAAAATCACTTGCCCTCTCCAACAGTGAGAGATCGTTCAGTTCGCCTTTAAGGCTCTAATCCGTGACTGACACGCGTAATTATCACACATTTGTATCCAGAGTTTCTTTGTCTTTTCAAAAAGAATTGTAAAGCCTCGACTGATGCACTGAAGTTTTGAATAAAAGAAAGGCCTCTTCTCTAATCTCTTTTTGCTTTTTCAAAGTGCAATATTTTAGGTTTGTAGCAGTTCACATTCTTTTGTAGCTCACAAACATTAATAGGGAGTTTAAGCAAATCACTACGGCTGGCGCTGCTACGGCTATCGTGGTTGACGAGGCTTGGGGAGAGTACGTCGCCGTAGCCCGCCAAAATTCAACTTTAAGCAACGCGAACTACAAGCCTAGTACGGCTGAGAAGTGTAAAACCAATAAATTAAGCGTCTTCGCGGTAGTTTATTGCGCGTCTAAAAACTCAAAATGACTTCGTTGAAAGGGACGAGGGATTCCAACGTTTGGAAGAAAAAATTGTAAGCGATCCTGTGCACAGTGAATGAATGAATTAAAATATTTGAGCTTACGTGTTGTAAAATTGCCAGTTTGGAGCTTATAAACACCAAAGCAAATTTTCTACGCGGTCCCTCATAACCCTCGTCATTCCTTGGCTTCAGTTATTTGAATTTCAAGTAGTCTTTGAGGTTTGAAAAGGAAAAGTTAGACTTTCTACCTACGCATTTCACTTTGCGTTCGCTGCGTTCCCCATGTGCACACTGCTTCGATCCTTCGACAAACCCGGCGGCAAAAATAAAGGCAGATTCACTCGGTAAGGGACAGCAAGCTTGATAAATATTCCCGATAAGCTATTTTTAAAGATGTTAAGTGTATTTCAATAGTTAAAATTGCTCAGGAGAATGTATAAAGCGAAGAAAGAAGCGAGATAAGTTCACGTACCACAGACTACGCCGAAACCTTCCCACTCGCGTAGAAGGATTTCCCGCTACGGCTGGATGGGAACCACTGACATGCGCAATGACTCGTTTCTGGACAATTTTACTTCCGGTAGCCGTAGCAGCGCCAGCCGTAGTGATTTGCTTAAACTCCCTACTGCAATCACGCTGTGGTCCAACGCGCAAGTTCCATCGCGGCACATAATGGCTATCTCTCGTCATCGCAATGAAGCTAGCCTGAGGAATTACAACACTCGTCCATCCAGTGAACAGCTATGGGCTTGTTCAGATATCCTCTCTTGTGTATTGAATGGAAGACCATCGCAGCCAAGTTCCTCTGATGCAGCCACCAGTTCAGAAAATCCTCACGCTGCTGTAAATTCGACCGTTGTTTATTCACAGAACAACACAGCGCAGCAGTTTGTCAAGTTCCAACCACAAGTTTTAAGCAGTTGTTTTCAAATTGTCACGTTGATAGCGTCCAGGTTTTCATGGGCCAAAATTCGGCCGGATTTCATTAATCATGTTAC